GTGTCGACCCCTAGAGTGAACATAAAAAGGCGGAGCCAGAACCTAGCCCGCCGAGATCCGTAGCGGAGCGAAGGCCGAGTGGGTGAAGCGACACTCAGGGGCGACAAAGCGAGTGTTCTGGCGAAGCACGTGGAAGAGTCAAATTTAATAATGAAATAATAATTATTAATTCATAATTAAATTTGACTCTTCCACGGCCAGAAATATGATTTTTTTTACATTAAACAAAAAATTAAAATTTATGAAAGGTGAATATTTCGTATGTAAAAAGAAAAATCTTCGTAATTTTAATGAAAAATTTAAGAAAAAATCACTATTAATCTTAATTAGATAAGGCTTCTTGATATATAAAAATATGCAATTACGAAAAAACCTTTCAATTTGTGTTAAATAGACTTGAAATTAATTTATACTACTTACTGACTAAAAAGATTTTATAAAATTTGTAATCGAGTTCCGAAATCGATATTAGCATATTGGCTGTATTGATATTTGAGTACCTAATCATATATTAAATTTAAAAAGATAAGTATTTCCCGCTCTTTTCAATTTCCTCTTTAATATTTGTATTTGTAATGGTGGATAATATGTGCGCGTCTACTAGCACTAGTGAATTATGTACGTATTGTAATTTATATTTTATTTCTTTTTATAAAATTTATATAGAATCTCGTTCAGTACTTTTCAATTTTTTTTGTGTCGTCGTGGTGTCTTGTAAAAAGTTTTGTTTGTTTAAAGTGTGGACAAGACGTATTTTTGATTTAATATGAAAGTTTTTAAATGTTAAAAAGTAATAATTAAACCAAAGACGAAGAAGCGTCAGTGTTTTTTATTAATGAGACATTACCATTTGGAAAAGTGTGCGACTTCAAATATGTATGTATTTTTAACAAAAAACTTTTAGTAGCTTCATATCTAACATGTCAATAACAAAATGGAAGACTTTCTTAGTGAAAATAACGAGTTTCAAATATTTTTTTTCTCGACAACTATGCGCAGCCAGATAATTCTACTTGTTGTTTATTTTATAATTGATTTTTCATTATCCAATAAAAATTTTTTGCACCTGGTAAATCAAACTGTGGTAATGGAAAATTTTACCCTAAAAAGTTCTATTTAAAAGCGAGAAGCGTGGAATCGATATAAGTTTTGCCGAATTTTCAATAAACTTCTTCTTTAGAAGAAGTGTCTTATTGCATGGTAACTTCTACTAACACTTCTTATTGGGTCACAATGGCTTTTGTAAAGATAAAAAGTTCCTTCTTGCTGTAATCTAAATGATATAAAGCATATACGTGCCTCGAAGAAGTCTTTTATTGACATATGCCCAGTTTCCGAAAGGCCAATCAAAGCAGCAATCACATAACACTATGTCAAAAATGATCAGCTGTTAATCTCTTGTTAAACTGCCTTGGGTTTCTGGAAGGTTTGTTCAAGAACAATTAGCTAATCACTGTATAACCAATGATAATGAATGAAATGAATGATTTACTTCAACTAACTCTTTCTATTGTATAGCTCTGTCCCTTTTTAAACAAAACTTAAATTAACGTCACTATCCAGACCTGTCACCGTGTGATTGCCAACGTAAAAATCCGAGCTATAATAAAATTTAATTTATATAAATACATGCAAAATGTCAAGAAAAAATCTTTACAGAACGTAAAGAAATGAACTTTTATCCGTAATAAACAAGTAAGGATTATAAAAAGAAAGAATCCATATTATTTATTAACTTTTGAATTGCATTTTGTATTTTTTCTAATCGCATGATATGTTCGCATAATAATAAATAATAAATAGGTAATAGAACACATGAATGTCCTAACAACGTATTAGGGAATTATGTTTATTTTTAATAAAAACTAAGATTTTTGATAAAAATACATTTTTAACCAACGATTGATTGTCCAAATTGACAGATTACTTAATAAAACTTTTGACAGCTCGTTGATCACCGAAAAACGCTTTCAGAAACTCGATTTTCTGTTGATTGACCGTTAATCAGTGACTAATTGCAAATCAAAATCAATGTTGTTTTAAGACGTTCTAGCAACTCAGATCATGTTAAACAACGATTGACAAGAGATTTATCGTAAATTAAAATTGATTGCGCTTTCGGAAACCGGGTGATAGAGTAGCACCAAGACCTAGAACCATTAACCTTTTTAGAAATGATGATATTTGTAGTAAGAGTATGTTTATTAACAAGGGCTTTTGTAATGAATGATGAAAATGATGAGTATTTTAAACATGTATTATACAGATACATATGAAATACTGATCATGTAGCTGTTTCTACTCCCGAGGGTTTTATAACAGTTTATCTGTAAAAATATTACAAAACTCTTTGTATAATTTACACGGCTAATTATATTAGTATTTGTTAGTATTTGCATATAGTCGTCAGTAATTTGTAGTCGAAAAAAGGATTGAGAGAGGAATATAAGATATGATAGAATGTCTCGTCTCTCTCTTTTCGGAACGAACGGTAGTGGGGCTACTAACAAAACGCAATAGTTAATCCTCGCTTAAAACCAGCACACCATGTACATCCACGTCCCAGGTCGGCTCCCACCGGTCCCAGTCAACGAATAACATGGTCGACGGCCGTCGATGTTACCACGGGGTAGTGGGATCTCGACGGCCCGTACCCGACAATCCCTAGTTTTGATAATGCACGCATGTACGCATGCGTGACCCCGCTTAGGTGTGGTCTATTAAGCTCGAGAAAATCTAGCCTTCCTACGAGCGCTATGACAGATGAAAGTTTATATAGTCTACGAACTGAAAACATAAACATTAATTAAATGGTGTAGAAAACATTAGGTACGAAAGAGATTTTCGCCGCTGTGGGAATCGAAACCACGTCTTCACAAATCTCAACGTCATCTATCTGCATTGTTTATTCGCATTTCGAACAATGCTTGGCGCATCTATACTTACATCCTATACATCATACAAACAATTTCTAAAAAGTATAAAGCGAGTGCCTTTTTGCACTTGCTAGTGGAAAGTGGCAAACGAACTGCCGGTTCACCCAATGTTACGTGATAATCCTCTCCCATGGACATTTTGCAACAACCGTTAGATTTGCTGATGCGTTGCCACCTTTTAATAAAGTGGGCTCTGGCTACCTCACTCACCGGACGAAACACAGAAGTGTAACACTTCTACTTCAGGCCCATCTTCTGTAGGGTCATGGTACTTACCCAGACGGACCTGCCCATTCCTCAACAGTGAACACTGTTTCGTGGCCCTACCACAGACAAACACTGACCTAAATATATTGGAATCTAAAAAGTTTTCAATATGCGACATTTTAATATCTACTATCATTTTAATATTGCTTTATATCTCTTTAAGTACGGTTAATTGAAGGCATAGTTGGCGTGAGAGTACTGGTGTATAAAAATATACACCGGTAATATCACGCCAATTATGTTTCTGTACATTGTTATCCTGAGCCGTGATAGCTCAGTGTCCGGGCGCTCGCCTTTAATTCAATATACTCGAGCAATAAAGTTTTTAACTTTAAGTGTTGACTTATCACGTGCTCCGCGGTGAACGAAAACATCGTGAGGAAACCTGCATATTTTCGAAATAATAACAAAAAAGAAAAAATATTTCGAAAATATGTCCGCCAACCCGCAGCGGGGCCGCGTGGTGGACTATGCCCTGTTGTGTATACCCTCTGTATAGAGGAGGCCTTTGCCCAGCAGTGGGACATGTAGGCTGATACTTTACTTTACTTTTACATTGTTAACACATAATTTAAATATCAATGAGCTTCTATTGGTTAGATTCTTAAAAAATATTAAATCAAAAATATGCAGAACGTGTCGAAATACGCTTTTTTAGTTTGGTGTCATCAGTGAACAAATAAATAAATAAACATTTATAAAAATTCATTTATTCTTAACACATCACAAAGGTTTCAAAAACGATGCAAAATCACATAACAATCATATCCCACCAGGTACATTAATAATTACGTTGTGACTATAATGTAATTATCACTAAGTTATCGGAATTAAGACCTACGTCGCATAATAATTCCGTAATTTAGGCTTTAATATAGCTCTTATCAAACACCGTTTAAAACATCAAACCAATGTCTACGGTTGTTACTTAATTTTAATAAACATATCTAACACGTCGAACTACTAGAATAACTACAAGATAATTAACAGGAAAGATGCAACACATAAATTACAATAGAACGATATATTGTAATAACTAGACTTGGGACTGGAAATGTCTACAATTTTCAATTAAATACAAAGTCATTTTTTTTTACAATTAATACCAATTGGTATGTGGATGTAGAAAGGGTCCTATAATAATTATTTTGGAAAAGTAAAATGTTAAAATTGCCCCCAAAACGTTCATTCCAAAATTTTTCAAAAAGTAATTAAATGTTAATTTTTAATACAAATAATTACGGATGACGATTTAAATATACTTTTAGGTCTAAATTTTCTTTTAAAAGAATCTTACAAATCCTATTTTAAAATGGTGTTCTTTTCTATTGGCACATGATTTTATTTAAATGGTGTATATTTGGGACTAGTCTTATAACTAATAATGATTTCAACAAAACAATCAATAAGGAGTACCTAAGTCATTTTGAAACTCTTTACATTACAACGGTAAGATCATAAATAGGATTTTACCAGAATGATTCAATAAACTACCTATTTTTTTTTAATAATAAGTACCTAGCAGCAATTCCAAAATTATTTAACACATTTTTAGTCATTCGCCTACTAAACTTTGTGCTATTGATGTTCTACGCTAACATTTACAACTATCTAACTGGAGAATTTCAGCCATCGTAAAAATTGCTGCAACATAATACGAAAATAGGACTGCAATACTTTTTTTCGCCGTATCAATTCTTTTAATACCAATTAAAATGTGCTAGATTTCAACAAATCATACTCATTGCCCCCAAGGGTGGCCTCTCAATGGTTTGGTATTTGAAATAATAAAATTTATACCGACGTTTCGGCTGAGGAGCTATTTCTTGTTTCGCACTTTATTCCGCCGCTCCAAGACCCCTTGCGCCTTAGAATATCGCTCTGAAAAATATTTTGTTAAAAAGCAAAAGCACTCGTCTGAAAAATGTTTCAAACAAGAAAAATCGATCATACCAATGGGTTGTTAATGTAACATGTTTTGTTTTCTTACCTTCACTAACAAAAAACGTGTTAATAGTTGTGTCCGAATAGATAAAAAGTGAAAGTGAATGAATCACTACATTGCGATTTTTTTTTAAAAAAATTTTAAAGATGAACATTTGTAGGTTTACTGATATTAGGAATATAAATTTTTTATTGGATTTAATGTAGATAAAATTGTACACAAAAGCAGTGCAAATACATTTCGGCAATACAGAGAAGCTCCATTTTACAGGTTATATAGGTTTGTACATAATATGTAAATGAACCAAAAACTAAATTGTTTAATCGTGTATGGTAACTAGACAAAATACATGATATAAATATACAAAACAATAGCGTTGTTCAGTGTTTAATTATGTACAGTGCTAGCTAACATTAAGTTAGTTAATTTATTTAAAAAACTTAATTTCGAACTACAAATGAAGACTGAAATACTGTTTAACAGTATCTAAGGTTATTAACTAAATGCTTTAATTTAACAACAATCACCGACATTGTTAAAATTGCAGATATTTTTTTATCTGAAACAGTTGCTGCCTCTAATTTTTTGGAAAACATTAAACGATCTATTTAAAAAGAAACTCGCTACCCACAACTACATACTACGGACATTAAACATTAGTCGGCGTTGAATGTCCTTTGAAATTTTCAAATAATAATGTACTAAAAAGATCGGATTTTTTTGTACTGCGATTTTTTGTACTGCGAGTTTCTGAGGCGGCTTTTACATATTTTCTTAGATATTTTCTCATTTGCCGAGTAATGTCTAACGGTACTGCGTACTCCATGCACGTGGGAATTGGGGTACCGTGCTCCATGCCGCCATGCTGTGATCCTCCTGATTTAATACAACACGAGGCATGCGTGTTCAGAATTTGGTGTCGTCGATGCACACCTTTGCAGCTGGATCGTCTTCCTCAACCTCAGCCATGGTGGACAATCGCCTCTCGATTTCCGATTGTGCGCTTTTCAAGATCAACTTCTTATGTTTTACACTGCGAGCAAACCGAACACTTGGTTATTACTTGGTATTTGATTCAAAATAATGGCAGTGAAAACATATTAGATGACTCAATATATCATCATGATTAGCAGTCCACAAAATTAAATTTCATTGTTGGAACTTTCAAGTGGCCATGTCTTAGCACAAATGCTTCAGCCAGCTTTTTAATTTAATAATTAATACAACCACAAAACACAATTGCACAAACTTGAAGTGAATATTTTTATGTGTCAACCTTTCTCTAAATTGTGCGAAACTTTGAATTAATTTATAAATATTTAAGGTGCTTTCTGAAGTGCAGATATTGATATAAATATAACTTTATCTATATTGGAGTACTAGGCATAAGTAATAATAAATGATTTCGGAATGTTACAACCGTCTAGACTCTAGCAAATCATACAAGTCAATTAAAAGACACGATAAGAGATGTAATAAAACTGGGGTCAAGCATTAGAAATAACAATAAAACTAACTTTTTCTTTGATGATTTGACCTTAAAGTCCTTAGCTTCATTTGTGATGTTCATTGTATTGTTACTATTTACTTGCTTCCATATTCCCGATTTATTAACTTCCTCTGATATGTTTATTGAAGTTAAAGGTATGTTCATTATGTTCCCGTTTATTAGCGGTATTTGTAAATTCTCCTGGTACGGTGGCGGGTTATTCTTGTTAGCATCCTAAAAAAAGTTTTTTTTTAATGTTATATATGCGAGATGCTAATAAAATACGTGTAGTGAAAATTGAAAGGATGAATTTTCCAGGTTTACAACACTAAACATATAAAAATTAAAAGACAATAACAATTTAAGCAATACTTACAAATATTAATTAATTATTTAAGCGAAATGAATACCAGAAATTACTCAAAATATAAAATACGGCTAATTCAAATTTAGTTAACATTATTAAATGAAACTATTTTTACGGATTTCTCGTATCTTTAGTCCAACTAACACTGATTAAAACTTCTGTCAAAATGTTAGCACCTCAGCGCTGCCAAGCTCGTGTAGCTCATCTTGATTCCGCCTTGACATCTCCGGCATTACATCGTCTAAAATTTTCATTTCCCTCCTTGTGAAGAATAAGTCTAACGTCTTTCTTATTCCAATCATGACTACAAGCATTAACGGGAATAATATAGATGTCATTGAGAATGACTTAATCACCCATAGGCAAACTAAGCACGTCAATTGTATAGCAGTGAATAAATGTACCCGTCGAATTGGCACCTGCAATTTAAAATAATGTTGCAATACATATAGCAACACAACGAGTATATACGTCATAATTGTGTTGACGGAATCCATGAGCTTACCTGTCTTAAGAACATGTGATCCGGTTGATATTTCTGAGGCATAAACATAATCAATATTCTATCGAAGAACTGTAAACCTTTTAAAGACGCCACACCCATGTATAGGAATACTCCAAATAATACGGGCATGGGGATGTGCCTTAGAATAGGCGTCAAGACAACGGAACATCCTATAGTCACGAATATCATTATGTGAGTTAATCTCTGCTCTCTAACTCCTAAAAATTGTGGCTTCTCACCCGGTGCTGCACATTCTGACTCAACTTTAAGGGAATTGACATGATTGATGCTTAGGACAGTTGCCGCAACAAACCACGGTAAGCCCATAACTGAGCACAACTGTATTAATATCGCCAACACAAACAAATCCAAATGGTAACCGCATCCCTTTTTCAGCTTGTTCTCTTTCCTATTAACAATCACGGCTGTTATTTGCTGGTCCATAAATATTAGTATCGTTCCCAAAAGAGCGGGCAAAATTGCGACTAAGGCCGACCAAATAGGGTTGCCATTGAACGGAGTTATAACCCAATTTCTGGTCGGCAGTGTGGGCTTGAATTCTGACGGCACTTCGAGCTTTGGAGTTTTGACTCCCACTTTGAAGTCCAGGAATGACATGGATAAAATTGCAATAATCACCGAAAAGTCGCTTATTATTTGCCTCACCTATAAAAATATGAATGTTAGTAAAATAAATATTATTTACCTGCCTACATATTTACAAATTATGTCAAAATTACCTTTGATGGAAAAAATAAAGAGTTTTTAAAGTCCTTTAAAATTATTGATATGGTGAAAGTACCAAGAAACAAAATTATTGACATAAGAAACACATCTGGCACGTATACTTTCGTTTCGCATCCAGCCCCTACTAAAGTTCCATTGTATAACTGTAAGAAAATACTAAAACTTAGTAAAAATATAGAAGTTTTATATCAAAATCTTTTTAATTTAATTTTTTTAAATATAACAATAAATAAAGGTATCTTTTAATTGTGTAATTTAAGTACCTGACAAGATTCCTTTTCAACAGTTGTCCAATTAAACTTCTCTGACACTCTCGAATAATTACTTGGCAAACAGAAGCACTCATAATTCAGGACTTCGTCTGCGTGCGTCTTGAGTGGAAACTTTTTACCTATTGAAATAACATTTTCGATTGCCTAAAAGTAACATTGAAGAGAAATTTTAATATATAAATAACTTTGAAAGTTAATTGACGCTTTATGATCAAGTTACCTTGTAAATAAAAATAAACGCGATTAAGGTTGCGAAATTCTCCTCGGTAAATCTAGTTATGTAACAGACGAATGCACTAGCATCGATTGCGACAAGAGTGACTAATATTATTGTTGTCCAAGTACCTATGCAGAATCTAAATGACATATAATTCCAACCTATCTGTTTACAAAACTCAAACACTATTGTTTCAAATACTAATACGGGTCCGGTCGACCCCAATATTGTTAGTGGTTGTCCAGAGAAGAACCCGTAACCCAAACCACAAACAAAACCCGAAACCAGGGATTCCATTGCAGCCATGTTTCTTCCTGTTGCTTCTCCAAGTAGCCCACCAAAGGTTATAATAGGCGATAAGCATGCAAAGTATAGAAATATCCATGATGCAACGCATTGCAAGGCAAACGCGTCTTTAAAATCTGACCAATACCAAGGTTTTTTTCTTTTCAGGTCATTTATTAAACCCCCGAATAATCTTCCACTTCTAGCTAAACCTGACTCTTCCCTCTGTCTTTGTTCCTCTTCTTCATCATCTGGTTCTTCTTTCTGATTATTATCATTAGGTCGTTTCCGGATATCCTGTGATGGTATTGCTGCCGGCGGTTCAATACGAATGGCTGGATCCCATTCTCCAGGGGGTAAAACCGTTACTGCATCTAGAAATTCATCTATACCCGATAATAAATGGTCTCTTTTTTTCGCACGGTATGCTACTTCGTGAAATATTTCATCTGACATAAGTGTCGCCATAGCTCGGCCGATTTCGTGAAAACTTGAATTACTGTTTGGTGGGCCAAGCAAGACAAACATAAATCGTGTTGGTACAGGCACCTCAGTAAGATCTCCCATGATTGTTCCGGTTTTCAGCCTTACAAATGCGGATAAAGTTTTCTCGAGAAAGTCAACTTCACCAACGAGAATATTAGATGCTTCAGCTCCAGGTGGTATTTTGCGCATAAAATGTGTGTTACATTTATGATTAATATCACCGTTAACAGGGAGATCACTTGAGCTTGGATTTCGGTGCATTGATAAACTGCTTGGACTTTTAACCATACCTTCATCTGATATTCCACCTGAAAGTTTTTATTTTCCATTACAGTAGAGATAGTGTAACAAATGAAACGCTAAGCATTAACAATTATTAAAAACAAACATCTTAAGAGGCAATAATGCTAAGCTACTTTAAACAAAATGACACACAATCTTGCATTTGTGATGATATTAAGTTTTAATTACATTTGGAATTTACCATACAATGTGTGACGTGTAAGGTGAAGTCAACGTTATTGGTTCGTCAACTAAGTTAATACGATGAATAACAAGCGAGAGCCAAAGCTAGAAGGATAGAAAAAAAAATCATGAATAGTATTGAGCCTTTAAGAAAACAATAGCGGATGAATTGCGACGTTTCTTAGAAGTATCAAATTTTAAAAAAGTAATAGAGAAGAAAACATTCATTTAAACGTCTTAATGATTAGCGGTTACCCGCGCTAGAAACTCCTAGAAAACGACCAAAATCTCCCTTCTGATTATGTCCGCTGCTACCGCTTTCTTCCACTGCAATTTAGAATGCCAATTTTTACATAACATCGATTGAAATTTCATTTATTTCCAATACACGAAAAATACATCTAAAAGAGTATATATTTTACATTTAGCCATCCAGTGCGTGCATATTAATAACACCGTGGCAATACGACATAGATCGTGTTTGTGTGAGCTTGTATTCGCACTCGTTACCATCACTTGCATAAAGCTGACCTGGAACAGCTAGATAAGAGCCTCTCGCATCTGGAGCATGAAGTAGAGCAGTCTGAGGGGATGATGAAGAATGGCTATTCCGCGTACTCGTACGGTGAGATCCAGTTTCCTGGAAATCTAATTGGATATCGCCAAAATATCCTTATAACAATTTGTCACTAAACTTATAACTACGATACTTTTGCTCCTATACATGCCTTATTATATTACTTACTTTTACAAGATGAATGATTTCGACCAATGTCTGCCAAAGAACGAATCAAAGGAAGCTTGGACATATTATTATGATTTCGTTTTTCATGCTGATGCCTGTGCCGTCTAAGTAAAGCGTCTTTTACTTTATCCCTGCATTCATAACCTAAAGAACCATCTGCGACCATATAGTCCAAAACGTTCTCGGCTATTTGATCCAAAGAATTGGCTTCCATATCTAATATCACTGCACCATTTAAAATAAGACTTCTGAGTTCAAATAGTGAGTGTAATGACAATGTAGCGACATGCGGCTTTGACCAGCGATTGCCGCCTTCTTCAACGTCCTCCTCAAATTTAATCCAACGGGCAGTCTCTTTCCACTCAAGTTCATCTCCATCTTTCACTAATTCTTCCATTTCTGAGAAAAGCGGATGAGACTCCAGTGTGGCGTCATCAACATCTTCGCCGAGTATAAATTGTACTCTTTGAGCTGGTGGCGTCACTAAAAGATATTTCAATAGGTAAGTAATAAATTTCTTAACACAAACCCAAAGGACAACAAGGACAACAAAGGACAACAAGTTAAACAATAACACTAGATGGCTGAAAATAAAAAAAAAAACACAAGTGCTAAAACGTTAATAAGAAATGGGGAATATGGACGAAAATGACAGGAAAGTGTGAATTGCCGTTTGATATCTCTAATCATGCTTTGTTTTTTGAATATTTTATGACGTCGGAAGTAGCAGAAACAGATTGAACTTTGGAAACATGCGTTATTATATGAAAGTGATAAACTAAATCTTAAAGTCATAAAAATCATATTTTTCCTAAGCCCTACAAACAGATGGAGGTCGTGTTTGCGATTTCTTACATGTTTCTCCATCATCTGTGACGCTTAGTCTTCTGACGCGGGCCATAATCGCTGGGCCTATGAATCGAAGTATGGTAATGCTTATTTTATAAAACAGTAAAATTTCTACTATCCTATTATATTAATGAACACGTAACATAACATTTTTTCAAAACCAACACCGATGTATTTAGCTAAATATTTGGTGTGCAACAGTTACTTAAAAACCGAATAATGTTACAAAACTAAACCCTAAAATATCAATAGTTTGTATCCATCTCGCCATCTCACTAATCGGGCAAATATTTGCAAGTACTTTCGATACAACGCACAGATAAAAGTTTGTTTCTAAAATTAGTATGAAATCTACGATTACACCGCCTTGCCGAGATAAGTGAATAGCCGTAACTACCACTGCATACTGTAGGGTATTACGGATTAAAGATGGCTATTTGTTAAAACAGCATATGCCTTGTGTTCTTACCCGGGCGTTCGACGTCCTTTTCTCCGTTGCGATGATGGTGCTTGTGCTTCCTATGGGAGTGGCGACGAGCCGGAACATGCACCCCAACGAACACAGTGTGTGCTCTATGACCTGTTACATAATTATCGGAAATCGATTTTAGTTAAAAGTCCCTTATATATAATTATATACTACTTAGGATGTTTATAAATCCTGTGTAAGGTATATGAAGTTTTTCCGCGTAAAAGGAAGTGGCTTACATTTATCGAATCTAAAAAAAAATACTTTTTACTAAAATATGTATTAGTAAGAATAAGAAAAACATGTAGGAAAATTTACAGGTAAAAATAGAAGATAAAACCAAGGATAAAATCCTCTATCCGTTATCTTCAACACACATAATTAATTAAGCCGCTAATAGCTTGTTATATGCTCCGTTAGAATTGTAGTATTTTTTGTAATCGGTTTCACTTTTGAAGATTATTATTATATGAGCACAGTTTGCGTCACAGTCAAGAAAATCATTTGGTAGAGGTTGTAATAAAATTACAACCATGAATTTATAGCTACATCGCTATCTTCAAATTAAATTATGCCGAGAACCGTAAAAATAGAGAATTATTTGAAGGATTGATAACAGTAAAAACTAGATTGACATAACGTTTTAAAAATGTGCAAAAACTAGCATATCTCTCCCGTTTGTGCCAGAAAAGTTTACTTTCACAAATATGTTCTGAATACTATACACGGCATTTAATTTTCTAGACAAAGATAATGATGAATGGGAATTCAATATGATACCAAAATTTTTAATTTGATTCTGACAACGAAAATATAGTAGGAACAAAGTAATGAAGTTTATGAACATGCTGTAGTAAAGCCAAGTCCAAGACTAAGTGGATAGATTATGCTTTATTGGATGAAGGTCGAGGAAAGATCGAGTGGGTGACATGAGTGTGTGTGATTTGGTCACCTTCAAAATCCTGTTCTGTGTAGTCGTGATGTTTTTGCTTGCGCGCTGCAGGGTCCGGCGGGGCTTCATCGTCATCGGCCCTTGTGTCCATCTCGCGTGACCTGCATCAGAAGTTGCTTTTTGTAAGGGAAAATATTTTCTCGTGATGGTGTTAATTTTTAGCCAATCCAATTATCCAGCAAGCAATTAGCCAGCCAATTATTTGATTTTTAAGACATTGAATGTGTTGTTATCAGTTATGTATTTATTAACATAATCTTCGTAGTTAGATAGTCATCACGGCATATAATATAGCATTTTTAACTATGAATTATAAATAAGTTTATGTGCAGTGAATCCGGCTAGAAGGTTTGTGTAACTCAATTTTACCCTACTGCTCCAGAGGATGGTGATCTTGGGTGTGTATGTACGCATGCCTGTACAAATTCTATTCCCTTGGCATGCTCTTAAGTTCAAATACTGAAAAAATATCATTTGAGATGTCGCTAACCTGCTTTTGTGGTTTGGTAAGCTAAGGCCTTATGTGATATTAGAAATAAGAGACTTGAACGAACGTGGCAAAATATTTACACATAATATTTGATCTATTGAAAGTCTTAAAATAATGTTGCATAGTATAAGATTTGATTCCAACTTTGTACATTTAAATCACGTTTTCGTGTTTTAAATGAATTATTATATGTTCCCAATAGTAGCTTTATGATGAGCTACTATGATTAATGAACAAGGTCTCGAACTAACAACAAAGATTAAAACGTTTTTAATATAAATTCGGAAGGCGTTTTTACTGTTTGTTCTCCGTTTCTTCCCGCAATTTACGATTGTCTTTTCTAATGTAATATAGCAAACAGAAAAATTAGATATTAAGCCGCATTCATATTTACAAATGCTTTAAGTACTGGAGTCAATATATGTGAACGCATACAAATGTACTTTTAAGCATCGATAACTACATTTATCGATTCGAGAGTAATGTTGCTCGTAATCTATTCACAAAAATTCGATAAATTTCTAAAAAAATAAATGTTGGATGTAATTTTTTTTGACCAAACTTTCTGAATAAATGTTACAAATACATTTCTTTGGTCTGTATGAATGTTTCAAAATTTATATCCTCTTCTACAGATTTAATATCATCAATAAGAACCTATAGAAGAATCATTTCATCGTTACTGTCGTTCCGTAAGTTTTTAGCCAATAACTTATTTAGAATTGAAAGATAAAATTGAACCTCTTAGTAAAAAAATAGTTTACGTGTTAAACCGTGTTTTATTTCAGTTTCACCTCCCAACACGTTTTTCATTAACTTTTTATGTCAGTGTACAACGTGCATGTAACGTGAATAATTTCGTGCGACGGTTTTCTAGCAAAATACTTTTGGTGAGTCTTCTTCGTTGTAGTTTCTTTATGTGAGAAGGTGGCAAGCGATCTGGCGGTTCACCTGATGTTAAGTGATAACCGCCGCCTATTGACATTTGCAATACCCGTAGGGCTACAGATGCGTTGCCACCTTATAACAAAAGTGGCCCCGGCTACCTCACTCACCAGACGAAACGCAGAGATATAACACTTCCACTTCACGTCGGTCTTCTGTTAGGTCCTGGTAGTTACCCCACTTACCCGGAGGGACCTGCCCATTCTTGCAACAGAGAAGATAATTGCGTCGCCTTACCCCTATGAGCAGTACCTATTAAGGCATGAGGGTTAGTATAGCAAAAATATGAAGATTAGCTCTATTGCGGTTACCTATGAGAATAAATGTATGTCTTTAAATGTATATGTCTCATAATAAATGTAATAAATGACTTTGGTCTTCTATGATTTTGGTTTTTAGCTTTAGTGTCATAAGTACGTTTTTTTTAAATCCTGAATTTTTATTTAACGATATGTGTAAATACTAGAAAGCAATATCACAGATTCTGATACCTGCGGTAGATAAGTGCCAGGTTTCCTGCATGGGGTAGTGGAATAGATTTTTTTGATACTGACTGACATTGTTCTATTATTGCTTTTGATTGTTAACATGGTTAACCGTGAGTGACTGTAACATGTAATATTTCTGTAAACAGACAGGCGTGGACGATATAGCCACGATACGAAATGTTCAAACATCTAATTAATTTCGATCAACAAATTTAAAGATATAAACCCAAAATAAAATATGAATGATTGCGTAAAGGAATATAATGAATAATATTATGAGATATTAATTTACTTTGGGACTCGTTATTTATTTAACATTTCACTTTTGAATAAAAATGAAGCCATAAAAGAGAGAACGTTCAAAATTTATAGGGCAAAAAACGAAATGGCCAAACTTCAGACAGTAAGCGTGATTGATTGAAAACGTGAAAGTAGATCGTCGTCTTAAAATATTTACGAATCTATTGATTTACGATAACGATATTAGATATTACGATTTTCTTTCAAAATATTGATTTCCAGTTTTTATTTCATAACAGCAATTTGCTTAAAGATCGTTAGCCATGGATTGCTTACGTCATAATTCTATCTCCAGTAACTAAATCTACCTTTAGATTTAATATTGAAAACGGCCGTTATTAAAAGGATCAGTGTCTTATTTAAAGCGATGGAACTATAAACGTGCTCAACGAATTAAACAAATTCTATTATTATATAAAATTCTCGTGTCACGGTGTGTGTAATTGAAATCCTCCAAAACGGCTCGACCGATTTTCGTGAAATTTTGTGTGCATAACGGTCAGGGTGGAGATTGGGATAAAATCTATTTTTCATCCCCCTAAATGTTAAGGGTGGTTCACCCCAAATATTTTTTCTACCCTACAAATTCCTTAGAAATAATTTATACGGCAAGACAACGTTTGCGGGGTCAAATAGTAAATTATAAAAAATATTTATTAAATCATTATGAACATAATGATTAAAAAAATATTTAAATTTCTGGCGCAATCTATCTTAATATTTAGTTGTTGTTTTGTAATTTACTGACAGATTTATCCATTTTATGTTTAATAAATCTTTAATTGTTAAACTTACGGCTAAGTAAAGATAAAATCGTTCTATTGTAAGCTGAAAATGCCCAAATTAAAGTGGACTTTCGTATTTAAACACGTCATCTGCTTTATCTCAAATGAGAAGTGTTATGGCTTTTAAAAAGTATTCATTAAGTTATTCGATTTGTAGCAGAAATGAAACAATACTGTGCTTTATATCAATTCACAAACAAACCATATGTCATCAGAAGTATTGAGTACTCATAGGTGTGCAAGTTCAATGCCTAGTATTGAAAACATTTGAGTTTTCCATCGTTCGAGTTATTAAATGTTAATTTCAGAAAATGCGATAGTTGAAGCTACGCCCACAGCACGAGAAGCATCATGAAAAATGTATAGAGGTTAGCATATGGTTCAACTGCATTAAATTTAGTTTCAATATCAACAATTTTTTACTTTTTGTTCACTTTATATTTGTGTGTATAATAGGTAATAAATAATTTTATTTCAGATTGTAGGTTAAGATTTAATGTCCACAGAATCAATATTGTCGAATTGAAGTGGAAGGAAAAATTTTGTTGAATGCTGACCAAAAATCTTGAAATCTGCCATTCGAAAGAATTATTCGATATATTTAAATAAAAATCAAATTGAACAGTTAAAATCAAATTAAATGAAAGGACATTTTCAAACGCTTTTCAGTATAACGAATACAACTTAAATTGATCCATTAACTATTTACAACTTAACACTTAATAATTAAATTGTTTTCTGAAAGTGTTTGCCGTCGTTGTACAAGGTAACCATATTGTCAGCCTCACCTTGAGTAAACAAAGTCAATGGACAAGATGCGGAGATGGATTATGGAGGTAAAACCTTCAATTTTATATGGCCTTCAATTTCACTCATACATGTTGTCGAGAGCATTCATTTGTATCTATAATTATCATTTTTCAACACTTCAATTAATTCCTCTCTGTTAATTATTTTAATCTGCTCCTGTTAGTTCTATATAATCATTGATTAAAAAAGTCGGTACCTTTAGAATTTTTAACTGTTGGTTATAAGTAATAGAAATAACGACATACCCATCAATTATTTGGTGATTATTTGTTACCACAATATAAGTTTTATAAAAGAAAAAAAAAAAAGAAAAACACTTGTGCTTTTTCCAATCTATTTGAATATCAAAACAGTTATGAAATTACAATATCAACCGTGTTATTTCTAAGCAACTTCTATCTATTTTTGAACGAGATCCTTTTGTAAGGTTTGTTGATTTTTCTTATAGGTACTTTTATTGACACGTGTTACAAAATGGATTTGAGTGCTTACTTTACAAGCTTTAATACTAGTGGCCCTATATTACATACGATAACCCTTTTGATATAAACAGAAAAGTATGTAGGAACTATATGGGATAAGGTATTAATATGTTGTAGGGCCACGCAACACAGTCTTCTCTAGTGCTCGAATGCGCATGTCCGTCCTGGTAGTACCACGACCTCACAGAAGGACCGGCGTTAAGAATTAAAATTATGCTTATTAACACCCGAGCTGGAAGGATTTAATTTAATATGAGGAAAATTAGTACATTAGATGTCCATTTTACCAGGTATCTAAGTTTTATATTGGTTTATTAACTGGTGAATGGGCAGATGCGTCTAGAGAAGTACCGCAGCCTGAAGACCGGCATAAAGTGGAAATGTTACACTTCTGCGTTTCTAGTGGTAAGTGAGGTACCCGGACCCACTTTATTAAAAGGTTGCAACGCCCCTTAGGGTGTTGCAAATATCAAAGGGCGGTGATTGTCACTTAACATCAGTTGAACCGCCAGCCCGTTTGCCGCATTCTCACAAAAAAAACTCCACTACTACTTCAGAGAGGATTCGATTAACTTAATAAATTTATTAAGTTCCTCAGTATTTCAAAAACATGCTGCGAAATGTTTTGGAATTATTTCTATAGAACAATTATTTCATCGTATTAAATTTTAAAGAGTTAGTCAGATTAGCTGTCGTTTCTAATCACGCCAAGCCACCGCAGTGACCGCACAGCATTGGGTGCGATGAAGGCGAAATCGATACAGACCGAGTAAAGATGTTTAACGTTAACATTGGATTTACTCACGTACGCGTAGGCAAAGTAAATTCTGCACGGGGCTTCGTCGTATTTCATCGGCTTCTATGAAGGTTATAAAAATACGTGCACCGGTTAATTAAGTTTTCACGATACACACGAAGTAATACCTCAAGCTCCGACCTTTCCCCGAGAGAAGTGAAACTTTATTGACATGCATTTTTACGATTAATGCGAAAAATGTATTGCGTACTAAATGTAATAACTGTTAAATGATGAATAATTTTTACCTCAATTAAACTATACCTTTCCAAACCCTAAGTACCATCTTAGCGTCTGCTGCACTACATAGCTCGATTTCATAATTTATACTTTTGCAACAGACACATATCAAATTTATATCCATTAACTTCAGGAGACGTTTACCATTCTGCTAGTTTCTGTTAATTATAATCTATCTGTCTTCACCATAAACGTATATGTCTAGAGAGGTCAATTACAGGCTATAACCGTCTTGCCTACAAAACAAAATTAAACAAATGACAAACACTTTTTGAAGGACATTTAATTAACTGTCTAAATCTTGACCGCCATCTGTTTAGTGGTAGATGTTAGATTATTAGATATTTCTAGCAAGAGTGTATGCGATTACAATTCATTTATTCATTTTCATTTCATTTTTTTATTCACAAAACCGACTTCAATTGTCTCGCTCTGTATTCATTTTATAATTCATTTTCAGGACTTCCCTACGTATCTCCGGATCCCAAGACCCAATACTAAAGAAATTAATATGGGACCACATGGGAAGCACCAGCTTTCAAATAAAAACAGAATCATCAAAATCGGTTCACTCGGTAGAAAGTTCTGAGGAAAAAAAAAAATAAAAAAAATACAGTCGAATTGAGAACCTCCTCCTTTTTTGAAGTTGGTTGAAAAGTACGAATCCATGGAATTTTATTTAAATAATATATATAGGTATATTTATAATATAATTAATTTATATTTACAAACAATTACATCGCTGTTTGGTTTTCAAATTCATTTATTATTTACCCTCGTCTGGAAATGACGTCTGGATCACAACCTTTCCTTTAAAATATTATTTAATAATAAAAGAAGATACGTTACCGAATTGAGTTATTATAGAGTAATTCTTGATAACTTTGATAATTTCCTCAGCTTTTAGGAGGAAAAACACTGGAAGCGGTTTTTATCTTTTGACCGGGGCGAATCTCCTCATCAACGTTTTTAATGCTCCATAAATTTCCTTTGGTGCCCAAAAAGTACCTGTCTTCAGATGGTTTTCCGGCCCGAAGGTTTCGAGCAACGATACCTTAGTCAAGCATAAACACACTTGTAACGCCGTGTCGAAATTCCCAAATGTGTTTAAATGAGAAATGTGTATTGAAAGAATCTTTCGTCAGTCGTAATAATAATAACAAACAGAAAAAAACCGGCCAAGTGCGAGTCGGACTCGCGCACGAAAGGTTCTATAAAAACTCCCACTTTAATATTTTTTTATTTTGTTTCTTAATATTTGTTGTTATAGCGGCATCAGAAATACATCATCTGTGCAAATTTCAACTGTCTTTTGTGAACCGCCGCCCATGGACGTCTGTTACACCCGAGGGTTCCAGATGCTTTGACGAACTTTCGAAAATTGTGCTCCGGCTACCTCAGCGACAAGTCGAAACGCGAAAGTATTATACTTCCACTTCGCGCCTGGCTTCTGTGATGTCGTGGTACTTACCCGGACGAGTCTGGCCACTCGTGCATCAGCCGAGGCTGCTGCGTGGCCCTACCACAAATAATCAAACAAACAATAAATAACTATCACGGTTCATGAGATACAGTCTGGTAAAATACGGACGGACAGACAGATAGACAGACAGCGGAGTCTTAGTATTAGGGTCCCGAATTACCCTTTGGGTAGACTTATAATAATTTGTAAATAATCAATTATGTGTAATGTTTATAACTACTATAGTTTTACAGTGGTACATGTGATACGTACTTGAAGTAATCCTATATTGAATGGAATTAATTTATTAAATAGTTCTAAGGAGTAGTGACCACTAGTTACACAATTGATTGCAAATTAAAATAGCGCCAACGGCTATGAATCACGGATTTTTTCTAAAATCATCGTCAGTGTTTTATCATTTCTTTAATTTTGTGTGAACCCGTTCAAGTAACTTTTCTATATGCTCATAATATGTATATATAGAAAACTGAAATACGATAATTGAAACCGAGGTCCGGTCCAAATGAATAGAACTAAAACCCTTTTTAAAGGATGAAAGTGGAATGAACGCATATGCACTTCTATTTTCTGTTGCCCTTTCATTTGTCCTCTTATTAAATATATGCCCTATAGAATTAATGTTAATATTTTGGTATGTTTCATGATAAGATTTTTTTATTAAAAAAAGCATCATAAATTGTAGCTAACTTTATGTCTCGACTAAGAAGAATTAATAAACTCAAATGTGAAACAAATGTATGAATATTTTTTTAATTAAATTCACTCAACCGGCCCTTCGTATATTTAGACGAAATATTTACTTAGGACCTTAAACAGGTTTGCACAATCGCTTCAGTGACAAGCCCTCTGTTTCCACGCTTCAAAGTGACTAATTATTAAAATATACATTTATATACTACTGCAACTTAATTTTTGACGATTTGAATAAATTAATGATTTGCAGTTCTTGGCGATTTTATGCAAATAAATGAACCAAAGCATCATATAAAACAATACGGGCCTTGTTTTGAAAATAAATTGAGATGTAAATAAAGACTTCCTTATCGTAATTTGCGTTATCGTGTTAAAATTATGTTTCAAAAAGGATACTCACGGAATCAGTTTTCTGGCATCGCCAACTCGAATGAAATGCTTCGAAACTAAGCCCACCAACCGTTAGTTCCAGAAGTAGTATAATTTTCGAATTCGAGAAAAGATCGTTCTTGTACACCGCAACAAATATTTTGGAGAAGAGGCCAAGCCGAAGAGGTACCGCGTGTAGTTTAGCACTAACAATTCGTCAATAGGATGTCTATATTTAACGGAGACGGCGGAATGGTCCTGTCGCTTGGTACAGCGACAGCTAGCGTCTGGCTTCAGAAGGGCGGTTGTTTGTTGCTGGTGTCGCGCATGCGTTGTCACCCTCCGAGCATTTCCCAACTACGCGAACGCGAAAGGAAATCACTATTGAACTGTCCGCGATATCCGTCACAGTTTTTCTTTGGAAATTCTAGAATTCGTCTCGAGTTCGATTTCGAAAAGGCTCTATACCAGTAACATGATTTTAGGCACCCGCCGAACCTAATCCGCCGTATTGGCTTACACCGAACTACGCTTAGCTGGAAATACGATTTATTTAGTGATTCCGTTACGGCTCTGTTATAGTTTTTTAAAGGATTTTCAGACCCAAAAACGCAAGATATGTGTATAAATAGAAAAGCTTCAAATTCAATTTACAATTCGAACGAACGTGACGGGGGTCCAAAATAAATAAATAGAATTGAGTATCGGAGGCGAACATCGTTTACTATGCGATCGAGATTGAATCAAAGCGCCTAAATTTAGTATTAAACCTTCAAACGCTACTATATATTGAAAGTTCTTGAAAAACCAATCGCAAAATTTTAAATAAGATTGTAAAGAATTAGGTCTGTTTTTTAATTTAGATGAAGAGGGGCCCAAATTTAAAAAAGGGCATTTTCTGTTGCTTAATTTTTAATTTTTTTTAAAAATGTTAAAATTTTTTTTTTGAAAGTTATTTTTTAGAAAAATAAACCCAAAGAAGAGAGACACGTTATGCTTAGATGGCGTAAACAGTCTCTGTGTCCCTTTATTTTCTTTGATACATGTTAATTTTTTTCCAATTTTCTTCCAAACATCCCGAATAAGGTGATGAGTCTTATAGTCATCTAATGAGACTGTGAATTATAAATACACGCGAAAATGAATCATGAATACTAAAAAGGACTGGAAAAGCCATTGGAACATCATTTAATTTGAAATAACTTATTAATGCCAATACATTTGATCCTATTGTCGAATTTACCCTATAGACAGGACACCCAAGTATACAAATGGCTTTGTACTATAAATAGCGCCCATTTCGGTACAATTTTGTCGTTCAAAATAAGTTGAGTCTATCTTGCGAGTCGTGTATTGATTCTCCTCGATTCACGTAAATTTACTTTAGCTCACGGAGTACCACACCCAGACAAATAGAAATGATTGTGTTTTTATCTGATGAAATCTTTAATGAATGAATTTACACTGAAAAATAATGACGAGTAAAAAGATGGATAGGAACGAGCTGCGAAGGAGAGTTTGCAATGAAAACTGTTTGCTGCACATCACGGAGCGACGACCTCAGAAGTCGGCGAAAAATCGATGGACACAGGTGCCAAAGAGTGGAGTTTGTAGTTTTTGGAATCGTAGGCCGTGGCTCTCTCCATGGTCCCTTGTTTGTGAAAATATGATACAAAATGGAAAGAATTTGTGGTCCAAGGTGAATGATTACTAATGCTGTAATTACAGAAATTTTAATGTGGACGTGGTACCACACTGGACGTATCCAATTGTAGACGTATCCGTAAAATTTTAAGTTTTTTTTATTAAGCTTTTTTTAAATACTTTTAGATTGTACTGTGTTTTTAGTTCTTCAGCAAAATGTTACTTACTCGTATATGGATGTTAAGTATGTAAATAATCTTGTTAGTCAGATAATAGCAATCTTGTGGCCTATCTCTATCATTTGCTCAAGTCGTTTCACCGGCTGGGCACACACCTGGCCTGATTGGTATTTTGGACACACCTTCATAGGTGCCCCTCTTTATCACACACATGGCATGTATATAGTCTAAACTTGCACATTGAAGTATGCATCCTACCAAATGCTTGACGTCTAGCCTGTTTCTGACCACCTGGTACCAACGCTGTAGTGCTGTGTAGCTCCGTCTTGATCTTTTCAGCTACTAACTACATACTAGTGGGCATAGACCATACCGAACGTATCCATATGTGCACTTAAATTCTAGTTGATGAACTGGATGAAAAAGAATTCAAGAAAATCACGGCAATGTCTTTTGTGCTGTAAGTATATAAACACATGTTGTGTTTCGAAATTTAGAGACTTTGAAATTAAAAGGACAAAATAGTTACCAGTTTTGGTGAATAAACAATAACTTAATATTGACTTTAATAAAATAAAAGCTGTACATTTTTGGGTCTCGTTAAAATGCTTTTATTTAATCATAGGAATTAATCTAACAAATTGTTGAGGTATTTTTGTGTTTGAATCAGCTATGCATTTTTGTATGAAGTGACGTGTTGTTAAATGGATATTCTATGTTTTGTAATTATCTTTAATGGGACTCGAGATAGAACGGCCTGCTTTACGCTTCAACGCGTAATTTATACAAAAAATAAGTTGTAAATTAAGTATTTTGAAGCAATTGAGTGACTGATTTCAACTCGTGGTTTGACGTGCACTGTCTTTTAAACATTAAAAAAATCATAACACTTATAGTAAAAAAAATATGTCATTATATAAAAATATGTCATACTCATCCTTGAAAAGTGCACAGGATTCGTTTAGCAATCACATCATTCAAAGAACACAAATACACAATTCTTAAAATGTAATATTAATGCAATTATTATACACTATTGATCTGTCATTTAGTTTCGGAAAAAATATTGTTCCTATACGTATATGTTTTATTACAATGTTTTTTAATGTCTACTGTGTTATAAGATTTGAGGTTTTTCATCATCCCAAATTTAAAATAATATTATTTATTAATAGCCGTGATAGCTCAGTGTCCGGGCGCTCGCCTTTAATTCAATATACTCGAGCAACCTGAGTTCGATCCCCGGTGCCGGCACCAATAAAGTTTTTAACTTTAAGTGCTAACTTATCACGTGCTCCGCGGTGAAGGAAAACATCGTGAGGAAACCTGCATATTTTCGAAATAATAACAAAAAAAATATATTTCGAAAATATGTGAAGTCCACCAATCCGCAGTGGGGCCGCGTGGTGGACTATGCCCTGATACCCTCTATATAGAGGAGGCCTTTGCCCTGCAGTGGGACATGTATAGGCTGTTACTTTACTTTTTTTATTTTTTATCGGTTCTCATTATCCTCCCTTTAAATTCGCACACGAATATGTTAAAATTTTCCTGTCGTTTTGAATACCAGCTTCAGCGGTGTACAAATGTGCTAGAATAACATAACATAGACATCATTGGGATGTGTATTGTGAGTGAAAACGTTTGTATTTTCTGAGTAATTGACTGTCGAGATCAAAATAAATGTATATGCAACTGTTCACTTAAACGTTTCAGATTCAATGAACCGTATTCTGCTTTAAAATGCCAATTATAAAGTCAATAATTTAAACACAATGATAATTACAGTTATAAAACATAGTATAATATTTAACATAGCATATTAATTAAGTATTTATGAATATTATGGTACATGTATTCTATTTTGAATCCTTAAATAATGTAATTTATTTTTGTGACATTTGGTTTAATATGTTTATGTACGTTATATATTTTCATGTATATGTTTTAAATTTAGTTATATATGAATAGAGAGATAGAGTTCGTAACGAAGACATCCGCAATAGAACTAAGATAACCGATATAGCTCAGAGGATTAGCAAGCTGAAGTGGCGATGGGCCGGCCATATAGCTCGTAGAACCGATAACCGTTGGGGAAGAAAGGTTCTCGAGTGGCAGCCTCGTACTGGCCATCGCAGTGTAGGACGACCCCCCACTAGATGGAGTGACGACCTGTGCAAATGTGCGGGAAGTCGATGGATGCAGGTGGCTCAGGATCGTACTTCATGGCAGTCTATGGGGGAGGCCTATGTTCAGCAGTGGACTCAAACAGGCTGAAATGATGATGATGATGATGATATATGAATATGTATATAACTTTTATTTTAACTTAAAATTTAATTTGAAACTTTTTTACACCTGCCTCTTTTGTCTCTGCGTCGCCCATAGGTTGACTGGGAGAGAATGCCTTAGGCATTAAGTCCGCCTCTACACAATGCTATTTTTTTGTGTAAAATATAAATAAATAAACATAGTAAATATCGGCGATAAGTATTCCATCGATCTTTGGAAAGAGACTATTTGGCTACTTTTGGTTTCATAGAGCGTCATCTCTGCTCACTACCTCGAAATTATCCAATGGTCCCTTTCCAAAGGTCGATGTGCAATATTTTCGCTGAGTTCTATGCATTAAAAGACAATTACTATTATCATTGTTTTATATGAAACGTTGGCAAACGAACTGGCAGTTCAACTAATGTTAGATGATAACCAACGCCCATGAACATCTACTACAATAGAGGAGTTGCAAATGCGTTACCAACCTTTAATATAAGTGTTCCTCGGTTACCTCACTCACCAAACACGTCAGTACAATACTTCCACTTCCCGCCCGTCTTCTGCGAGGTCGTGTTACTTCTCCGGATGAGTCTGCCCATTCGTGCAACGGCCGAAGCCACTACCACAGCAATTATCTTATATTATATTATCTTTTTAATGACTATGTAACAGAACAAGCGATTCATTAGTGAGGACCGTTGCCTATGGATGCTCAGAACATCAGAGATATTGCAGAGTTTTGACAACTATTCATCATCGTCATTTCAGCTGTTTGAATCCACTGCTGAACTTAGGCCTCCCCCCAAACCGCCACTAAACACGATCCTGAACCATCTGCATCCATCGACTTCTCGATACTTGCACAGGTCGTTACTCCATTTGGTGGGGGTTCGTTCTATATTACAATGGTCAATACGAGGCTGTCATTCGAGGACCTTTCTTTCTCATCGGTTATCGGTTTTCGTGCTATTTGGCCGGCCGATTGCAATTCGGCTTAATAAACCTCTCACCTGGCGATACCTAATATATTATAAAAGATTTGCATTAACTTTCGGCTGGTTATCTGTGAGTAGGGTTGCCATACTTTATAATAACGTATCCTACTTAATTTTTGTAAATATAGTTTATGTTTTTGCATAAAAATAAAAGATGCGAAAATACTCTATTTTCAGTCTTTACTGTGAAGCATAGAAAAAAACTACCTATATGGATAATTAGTGAATTTTTATCGACACTTCTAAGATGAAACAGAACACTTCCAACTTCGAAGGTTTTGCTGTTAATTATGATTTTTATTTTCAACCAAAAAAAAAAATATCAATATTCTTTCTTATATGATATTTGTTATTTGATTTTTTTATGTGAAAAGTTGCCAAACGAGCAGACGGTTCACCTGATGTTAAGTGAATACCGCTGCCCATAGACATCTGCTACATCCAAAGATCTTATAATTTAGTAGTAGTGTCTTTGGTTACACCCGAAGGTTTGCAGATGCGTTGACAACCTGTTTAGAAATTGGGCTCCGGCTACCTCACTCACCAGACGAAACGCGAAAGTATTTGTCATACTTCCACTTTACGCCGGTCTTCTGTGAGGTCGTGGTACTTACCCGGACGAGCCTGCTCATTCGTTCAACAGCCGAGGCTGCTGCGTGGCTCTACCACCGTCAAATTACCGTGATTTATTTGTGCTGTTTCCCAGCTTGTCATTTAAGTAAAAAGTAACTTTTTATTTCAATCGGGAATGTAAAGAATTGGCTTCTAAAATTTTGAGTATAGTGAAAAACTGTGAATGCGTGCAAGAAGCATACAAAATATATTATCAATAAAGAAATAAAAAATATTTTGAAAAATACTTTATTTTTCTCCGTTATACTTTATTTTTTCTCTAATTGATACATGTGATACTTTATTTTTCTCAAAAACAGTTAGCAACTCTAACTGTGAGGTACTTCCCTGTTCAGGTTGACCGAATCATGCCAGCTGTTGTTGCTAAACAACTGTTGAAAAGTTGCGGTGCGTTTCAATGAGTTGGCAGCTTTTGATGTTTCCAAGTGACACAAGATTTTTATTGATTTATTTGTATTTTTTCTATTCAGTGCCATCAGAGGTTTTTTACTTTTTCTTTTTTTTATGTAAACATTTATTTATATTCGTAAAAAGGATACCTATATAAAATTATTTTTTATTTTCAGTTAATTTGTGACAACTGCCTAAAGAGCTCACAACAGTAGGTTAACCGGTAGACAATGCTACATTAACAAACTTTATAAATTAATTTATTTATCAATTTTGTTAATAAAAACATTGTAAAAAGGTAAAATTTGTTTCTTTGTGTGTCTGTAAAGCGGAGGTTGAATTGTAATCTATACACTTTTTGAGCCCATTCTTAAATTTTTAACAAAACGTTGCACCTCGGAAAAATTTTGATAAAAAACTTGATTCCTCGTAAATCCCGAGTATATCGTAGTCGTGAAAGTTTCAAATGCGCTTCAGTAAACAGAAGTCGAACCAGCTGCGGTAGGGCATTGCCTGTCTAGCCAGAGAGCACGAGCAATGTATACGGCGCGTGTCCCATTCTTCTCTACCTAGAACTGCCTTTCAACTTAAACGCTGATCAAAGATTGTTCGTGCGAATAAAGTTCTTTATAATCGAAACTTAACAAATGTTAAGCATGTTTTACGATAACTTTTACTTGGTTTAAAATATTGCAAGAGTTTTTGTTACTTTCTTTTTTATATTATGAATTCTACTAAAAAAAGTTATTTGAAGCAAAGGGGACCCTTTGCTTAAAATAATATTCCCTTACTGACGATGGTCAGTGACGACGCCAGCAGGTATAGATGAGGTGACATGGCAGGTTTAAAAGCTAAAAAAACCAAAGCGACTAAAAAATCACTGTTTTTCTTATCTTTTAAAAGATAGGTAACGTACGT